GACAAAGCGAAAAGTGAATCAAAAATGAAATGATTTAAAAAATATTTTGTTCAAAATGGGCGCCTCCGGACTGTAGACAAGCACGACATCTTCTAATTATGGAGGTAGTGGCCGATCGACACTGAATTGGAGTTAATTCTCGACATGCTTGGACTATTCGCTGTCTTAGATCTTCTAAGGTATCAATTGGCACCTCGTAGACTTTTTGTTTAACAGCACTCCAATCGAAATAATCCATCGGTGTCAAATGCGGTGAAGAGAAGACACAAAGGCTTATTTGACTCACACATACTCGAGACTAAGACCAATTTTAATAGGTACTATATTTTTTTAGGTTTTATGAGGAACGTCTTCCTAAAGTTTATCGACAAAATCCAGAAGCACCCTTCCGAAAAATCAATTTTGCCATGAAACTATAAGAATCAGAAACAAAAAGTGAATGTACACTTTTAGTCAATAACAAACTGTTCTATCTAAAAACAGCATCATTTTTTATTTTCAGTAGGGCCGTATTAGTTTTTTTTTTTATAATTTAATGAGTCTGTGTCCCCACAACTCCACCACTGGTTGCTTGCGGGACTTCTACTTCTATGGAAAAATGGGTATCTTATAAGATGTGTCATACCAAATTTGGCTTAAATAGCCTTCTTCATTTAGAAGTTATTTAAAAAATTCGAATTTTTTCAAAAATTTTTAACGCCCTATATTTCGAAAATGAAGCGTCTCTGGGAAAAAATTTATACTTGATTTTTTTCTTATTTTTTTTTATGAGGAATATCTCCTTAAAGTTTGTCGACTTAATCCTGAAACATCCTGTACATTTTTAATTTTTGAATTAAAAATAAAATGTTATATAATATTATTATACAATAAAAAATTGCTTCGCCAAAAATTATTCTTTTTATTCTTTCTTTGTGTGACACGAAAAAATACAATGACACACTTAATTGTGTTATGAGATCGTGAAATTGCGAAAGAAAATGTGTTTATATCAACCTTCCAATTTTTTTTTCAATGCATTGTAAATCCTAAATGTATCTCTAATATTCTAACTATGAGTATATTTCACGAGGTAAATAAATCTAGTCTTTCATTTTCCAAAATTATAAATGTGTAAGGAGGTATTACAATTTTTCTTTAAATTCGTTCATCCACGAGTACATTTTGAGAACCGCTTCAATATGGAAAGCACGCCACTAGTTTCCCACTTGATCTAGAGTTCGGTAAATGCGGCTATTAACAGAGCCGTACTCGGCTCATTTTCGATTCATTGTTATCCTGCTCCATGCTTTTATTTTATACACCTGCATAAATTGCTACAAGTTGTAGCCAATGTGTGTTTTAAAATAGTTATTTAGGGTGTTCCAATTTATAGATATACAAACTAATACCATAATAAGTAAAGAACAAATGACACCCAAATATTTTGTCAATACACCTTAAAAAGGCATGTATTTGGAAGGTACGACTTCCCCAAATTCTTCTCTGTTATGATTTCTTTCTTTTTTTCGGTGCCAAATTTGGAACATTGTATTATTAATGATTTTTTATCCGAAATCTAATAATTCCAAGTTCTACATCATCCAAATTCTCGCTTTGCTAGTTTTTATCACAATCCATTCATTTTGAAATATATTTAAAAAATTAGAATTTTATTATTTTATATTTTATTAATTTAATTTATTTTCTTGGACGGTAGACAACGGCAACACGATAAATTGACGTATTTGTGTCGATTTGTAATTTTCGCGAACTATGTTTTTATTTAGTGCCTTTAAATGTAATTAATTAATATTTTTAGTGAACTATGGAGTATTCAAGCCAAATAAGGCGGTTTATACAAATAGTGAAATGATAAATATATTAAAAACATATTTTCGTTGAATACATAAAAGACTATTCCAAATGAAAAACATTTGTGATAAATATCAAGGAAATATGGCTCTTTGAATATGTAAACTTTTAACTTTTTAACCGCAAATGTAGATAAAGTAATAGTTTAACCATAAGGATAGATCAGATACTTTATTTTGTTTTGCTATTTATTCATATACAGTGTAGGAAAGTACCGATGGTCTATCAGAAGTTACGTGAGAGCGATAAAGTAAGCCATAGAAATCCATGCGGTAGACAAGGATGGCTATAATGAAGGCGTCTAATAGTCAACGCCCATTTCGCCCTTCCACAAATAAGAAGTGGATCTTAGAAGGGCGAAACGTGAGGTGACTATGAGACGCCTTCATTATAGCCATCCTTCTCTATCGCATGGATTTCTATGGCTTACTTTATCGCTCTCACGTAACTTCAGATAGACCATCGGTACTTTTCTACCATGTATATGAATAAATAGTGGTTCCATCCTTGTGGTTAAACTATTACTTTATCTACATTTGCGGTTAAAAAGCTACTTGATCTGTTGATTTGAATTGTGTAAAGCATACTTTAGCATTTGTTATAGAAAAAACAAAATTTATCCATATCACACAAAAATCTGCCAAAAAAAACACCCATAACTACTTTTTGTCTATGTCTTCGGAAAAATACAAGCCACTCCCCCAAAAATCTAGACACCTTCCGTACACGCAGCTGTTGTTATCGATTTAAATATATTTTTTTTCTTATCTAGATGGCTGCCATATTTCCAGTATTAGACATGTACTCATGCATAGCCACGAAATGGTCTCGGCATTTGGGATTTTGCGTTACATACACCGCTCTGCTCATGAAAACGTGGAGGTAAACGTCTATATTTCTTTCTCATTCACTATTTTTCGTAAATTTACCACCCAACATAATCTTTCTTTGTTCAAAGTCCCAAAACGCCAATTTTATTTTAGTTCAAATTAAAATGTTCACTTTTCACCCTTTGCAATAAAAACTGACCCCGATCAGAGACTGGACCACCAATATTGATTAAACAATCTTCCCCAAAGGGTCTCCCTGACGTACCGCGTCAAATCTGCGCACAAGGTGAAACTGACGGACAAACAGCTGCTCCAGTGGATGGTGCCCATCCTCCTGGTCATGCTGATCTACCTGGGGACCTGGACGCTTTCGGACACGCCAACCGCTGAGGAGATAATGGATAACGATAGCCTAAGGTTCAAGCAATGCACATATAACTGGTGGGATCATAGCTTGGCTATAGGTAGGTTAGATTTTGAGTGGCTTGAGTTTCTCTGCGGAATATTGTTCAGAAACGTGTTATAAACAAATAAAAAAATCGACTCGAGACTAGTTGGGAAACTTTGTTAAAGCAATGGTCAAAATTATGGAAAAGTAGTTTTTCGACTGGCGTAAAAAAACTGTTATTCATAGAGAAAAAAAGGTTTATACAAAAAAGATAGGTATTAAATAAATCTATGAAATAAGACAAGTCCGATTAAATTCCGATAATTTGTTTATGCGCAAGAGCTCAAAAATGGTCGAAATTGTCCGCTTTTTTCAATTGTTAATAATTAATGCAATTTTCATCGCAGACACTTGTAATTCAGGATTTTTGAAGCTCTTTGCACCCTTAATAAATGGTAAAAAATTCCGTCCGAAAACTTTATTAGTTTGGCGTTGGCGGAATTTGTTATCTAAGAAGATGCTATTTTCAATTCATTTTTCCCAAGCTCACAGGCGTTGTAGGGTTTCGATCATTAGTTGTTTTTGTACCTAAATAGTTGTATTGACATATGCATTTACTGATAATTTAATTTTTCAAATTTAATTTGTTTAAAAATGACTGAAAAAATGTTAATATTTATTACATCGTTAAGCGCGCATGCTAAGCCTCGCCTTCCCCACTCGTTCGCTAGACCAAGTAATAGAACGCATCGCCGCTATCTTCTTTTTCGAAATTAAATAGTTGAATTCACCTTAATGTTAATGTAGGACATGAAAATATAGCTCTTAATGTATACTCTCTCCAAATTTCGGCTCTTAATATTAATAATTAAGGTCACTGCGATTAAATAAAAAAAAATTATCTCAGCTTCTAATCAACTTACCACGATTTTTTTTTTAAATTCGAAGAAAACTAAAGTATAGAGGTTACTATTTTATTTTATAATAATTACTTATCTTAACAATTTAATAAATATTAACATTTTTCAGTCAATTTTAAACAAATTAAATTTGAAAAACTAAATTCTCAGTAAATGCCTATGTCAATACAACTATTTAGGTACAAAAACAACTAATGATCAAAACCCTACAACGCCTGTGAGCTTGGGAAAAATAAATTGAAAATAGCATCTTCTTAGATAACAAGATAAATTCTGCCAACGCCAAACCAATGAAGCTTTCGAGCTAAAATTTTACCACTTATTAAGGGTGTAAAAAGCCTCAAAAATCCTGAATTACAAGTGTCTGAGATGAAAATTGCATTAATTATTAGCAATTGAAAAAACGGCAATTTTCGACCATTTTTGAGCTCTTGTGCATAAACAAACTATCGGAATTTAATCGGACTTTTTTCACTTAATACCTACCTTTTTTGTATAAACTTTTTTTCGCTATGAATAATAGCTTTTTTACGTGAGTCAAAAAACCACTTTTCCATAACTTTGACCACTGTTAAAACAAAGTTTCCCAACTTGCCTCGAGTTGATTTTTTGATATTTTCGGTTTCCGAACAATATTCCGCAGAGAAACTTCTATTAGTATTTTTTCCCGAAACAGGCTCTTTCATGTCTATAATGACTGGGCTAGTTCTACTAAGTATTTTTATTGTTTTTCTTGGTTTTGTACTGTGTCAGTGTGTTTATCGAGTGTTTTTTTCTTCAAGTGGTTTATTATAGACGTACTCTTAACCATAACCAAACTTCCCTTGCGAAGCTACTTCGCTTACATGAAATTATCTTTAATACGCATGCTCAGTAACATTGACATAATTTTAATTTATTAATTACTATAAAAGACAATATTGTTCTGTAAATTTAAATATATAAATTCTATAATCCTTTTAGTTTGTCACTTGGGGTTTGAAACTTCTTAAATATTTCTAATATTGCCAGAATATCGCAATATTGAAGGTCATGACAAACAAGACATTTTTTGGCACTCCAAAGTACATAAGGTCGAAAATCGATGTTGCCTATTATTTGGCGTATGTGACGTCATATACAGGGTGGCCAAATGAAAACGAAACAGAGACATTTTCAGAACTGCGTCAAGATTGTAGAAAAACGCTCAGACCCGTCGATTTTAGATTAAAAGGGGACATTCTTTGCAGGTATTTTTGACTCCGCCACTTTCACCCCCAAGCAAGGGTAAGCATCACCCCAAAATATTTAAATGGCATTGGGGGTTGAGTAATATTTCTTTTGAAAGCTCTTACAATTCTCTTTACAACAGTCTTTAAATTTTATAATTCCGCCCAATACTTATTAAGAATTTTGATTTTAAAGTTGAAACTTATGTACAAACAATTAATTAGTAACGGTAAAAATGTCAGTCATTCGAGTTAAGTACGCCAAT